AAAGAGATGGCTAAAAGTCACTATTCAAAATGATATGGGGGGGTTCTTATTTCAAACTTTCATTTTGAAAGCCAGTAGGTGGATTTAAGACTATAGACATGGCAAGACAATGTGTAAGCCTTTCTGCTAAAAGTGGGGGTGCCCATTCATTCATTCATTCAGTAAATTGCATATTTTTGTGCTATCCTCAAAGTCCTTTTATTTCTCCACCAGGTTTACTAGTAAACTATATTTGCTTTTTAAATAAAGTTTATTTATTTATTTCTTCTATGAAGGAGACAGACAGAGAGGGACAGAGAGAAAGCATCCCCAATAGAGTCCTGACACCATGATCATCAGCTTCATCCAGCCCCACATCCTGGGCATGACCTCTTCAGGGAGGTCTCTGGACACAAACCTAGAACCTTCCTATGTGGGTCAGCCTTGGGGAGCTTTGTGTTTACCACCATCTTGCCCCTGTATTGACTTTCTTGAGAGAGTTTTCAAAAATTACCTAAAGAACTGCAAATACTCTGGCAGGAGATGGCCTTGAACTCTTTCAACTGCAAATCTGAAGGGAGAAGAGGGAATAGCATGGGCATGGGGACTCCTAGGGTGGTCTGAGTTAGACTGTGGTGACATTCTACTTCCTTTCTTCCTCCACAGTCTCTGAAAGGGATGTCTCTCTAAGTAAATGTATAATCTGTGCCCATGAAAAAATGAAGTGTCTTAGAAGGAACAACATGTCTTGAGTCAAGCTCCTGTCAACACACTCAGTAATTCATCTGGGAAGTCTTTTGTAACTTTAAACAGACTCTTGAACACTTTCAACTGTTTAGGAGTATTTATTAACACAGCATGCTTCAGTGTCAGCATCAAGGATTTCAGGCTTCCAAACAGGAAAATTAGAAAGCATGTCTTGTTCCCACAACGATAGAGAAGGAGCAAAGGCTATTAGGACAACTCATCTCCTGTAATATTAAAAGCATCCTGACAGGTCAGCAGAAGGACCCACTGGAGCTGGGACTGGGAAGAACAGCTCTGGGGGTGGGGGTGGCTCTCAAGCAGGCAGGACACGGTCAACTTGTTACTGATCATGAGCGCAGAGACTGAAGTTGGAGAAAGGAAGCTGATACGCTTCTCCAGATCATGATTCCTCCTTGACTATCTAGTTTAAGTTTATTTCTTTCATGAAAGTGAGAGACAGAGAAAGAGAAAGGGACCCTGAGCAGGGTCTTGTGCTGCAATCCCCTTCCAGCCTTCCCAGCCAGCCAGGATCATGGATGTATATTCCCAGTGTGGACAGATCAATTAGGGAAGCTAACCCACAACCTTCCACATATTGTGTATCCAGCATTGCTTGAGCACTGAGTCACCATGGCAACACTGAGTCCTCCCCTTACTTGACTCTTAAAGCATGTCTCTACTCCAAGGAGAAAGATGAAATGCAGAAGGTCTTTGAAAGAAGAGAACAATGGGCAGAAACGGTCAGCATGCTTTTCACTTGCTCAGAATTGAGTCTGTTAATAAAAAGGGACTTCAAAAAGTTCACGAAAAAATTGAATCACAAGTTTACTTTGGTGCAAAACATTTTTAAAATCCATGTATAGTTTTTTTCATAAATGGCATTTTCCATGAACTTGTTGAAAATCTCTTGTAGACTAGCAGCCCCAATTTCCTTCACTCTCCTCTTCTCAAGCAGTGGTCATGGAGGAAACTGGAATAATCTCAGCATTTGTTTTTAATGATAGAAAGCGTGTGCGTGTGTGTGTGTGTGTCAGAGAGAGAGAGTGAGAGCGAGAGCGAGAGCAAGAGCGAGAGAGAGAGAGAGAGATCCCTGACACAGAATCGTCATGCTGTGATCTGTTTTCTCCAGATCTCCAGCTCCTCAGGATCATGGGTGCCTGTGCGTGGGCTGACCTGGGGGCTCTGAACCCAAGGTTGGTCATATGGCTTTCAGCCTTGCAGGGCACTTGCATTACCGCTGTGTCACAGTGGCTGGGCCTCCTCCAAACATTCTTGATCTGGCAGGGATCTCAAAAAAATATGTGATTTGGTCACAGGATGAACCTGTGTGCAGAGAGTGGAAGAGATGCACCAGTTCCGTGAGCACTTACTCCAGTTTGTTATGTTACAAATTACTTTAAAACTTCATTTGCTTAAACAATAACTATCTTACTGTATCTCATGATTTTGTGGGTCAGAAATTTGGGCAGGGTTCAGCTGTCTGGTTGTTCTGTCCCATGTGGCATTGACTATGGTTATTTGATGATGGATTCCACTGGAAGGTGGGCTGGTCTGGAGGATCCAAAACAGCTTCATTCACAGGTTTGGTGCCTTGGAGGGTGTGGTGTGCTACATAATGATCCTCAAGATATCTAGGTCCTAATCCTTGGAACCTGTAAATTTTCTTTTATAATGCAGAAGGGACTTTGCAGATGTGATTAAGTTAAGGATCTTGAGATGGGGAGATTATCCTAAATTATCTGGGATGACTCTAAAATTAATCAGAAGTATGCTTACTACAGTAAGTGAGCGGAAGATCTGACTCCAGAGAAGAAGGCTATGTGAAGGCTGAGCTAAGATGCTACACTGCTGGCTTTGAAGATGGTGAAAAGGATGTAAGCCAAGAGACACAAGAAAGGTAGCCATATTTGCCTGGAAAAGGCAAGGAAATGGATTTTCCTCCACAACTTTTGAAGAGAGAAAAGTCCTGTTGACACTTTTATGTCTGCCCAGCGAAACTGATTTTGGGTTTCTGACCTCCAGAGCTATAGGAAAGTAGATGTGCATTGCTTTAAGCCACAAAGTTTTTGGCAATTCATACAGCAGCATTAGGAAACTAATACAGTAGAGGTGAAAAGCATGCTGATTTCACACAACTGGTTGACTTATCAAGTGCTCAAATGTCGAGCATCCAGTGTAGAGATAGAGCTGAAATGGAGGTCATTGCATTAGACCCACTCAACACCCACTAGATGATGTTCTGAAGCTCTTTAGAGGATACGTTTATATTTGTTACAACAGTGAGGAGAGCGGGGACAGTACAGTCAGGACAACAGGGACCTGAACTTGGTCACAAAAACAAAATGGCTGATTGACTATATTGGTCAAAGCTCAGTTACCTTACAGCTTCTCATCGGTGTTAAGTCTGGAGGTATACAACAGCCTGTGAAAAGCACTACAGTTAAGACCTTTCTGAGTTGGGGCTGGCAGGTGGCAAGGTGGTTAAGGATGTTGGACTCCCACATGGTCGACTGTGGTTCGAGTCTCAGACCTGGTGACTTGATTTCTCACTTTTCTCTCTCTCTCTCTCTGTCCCTCTCTGGTCAAATTAAAAATTAAATAAATAAATAAAGCTAAATAAACTAATTCTTTTTTATTATTTTTTTTGAGAGGTTTTTGCTATAGGGCGCATGCGCTTGCCAGACAGACAGAGAGAGACAGAGAGATAGAAAGCGAGAAATCACCCCCCAGCGGGGATGGCCATGCTGCAATCCTTTCTCCTCCATTCTCCTCTCGGGATCTTGGGCATGCACACACACGCGCCTGGCGTGAGTTTTAAGCCGCTGGGTCCAGGATGTGAACCGCGGTCGACTATGTGTGAGTCCAGCGACATAGCCATTATGCTAACTGCTGGTCCCAATAAACTAATTCTTAAAAAAAAAAAAAAAAAAAAAGACCTCTCTGAGCAATCTTCAGGCTTTTGAGAAATCATAACACCACAAGAACAATAATAAAGATGAAACTCCTAATGCCACAACTGGAGACCTTGGGGCTAAAGCACTGCTTTCTGGTCAGAACCTCATGAGACTATTTTTCTCATGCAGGGCAATGGCTGGACATAAGCACTCGTAGAGAGTCCAAGCACTCTTTGTGATGGGGTTTGGTTGAGTTATTACCACCACCTCTACTCCTCTACTTTCCTTTAAGAGCCAACTATGGGCGAGGTATTGCACTAGCCTACTTATTTGCAGTTCTTTTCTTCTCTTCTTCTTCTTTTTTGGAAAGACGTATTTCCTCTGATACCCTTCCAAAAACCTCAGCATTTCCCTGAGTCTAGTGACCAACACTACAGAGGAATGCCAAGCGTTGTTGACAACATCATAAGAGAAGCTTTGTAAAAATGAGGAGTTGGAGTTCTACCATTTTCAAATTCCTTACATTACTACAATTTAAGATTGAGAAGCAGCTTGTTACTAAAGCTAACACTTCCGTGTTACAGCCTTCATGCGCACCTACACTGGTAAATGGGCAGCAGAGGGTATTTCGGTCCTGTCACCAAGGAAGTGGAAAGAGACAAAATATACTGAAAGCTACTCAACATCGTAACCCCAGCCCTGGAAGAGAATTGGAAGAGGTCATGTTTTGAGTGGGATTTTGTTCAGTTGTATGTAACCGAAAGCTCAAAATAGTTGTATCTCATTCAAGATAGTTATTTTTTCCTTCTTTCCATTACAAGAGCCCTGAATTAGACAGTACACTCTACCTCTGCAAGCATCAGGGATCCAGCTCACTCTGCTTATTGATTCCTTGTCCTTGATCTGAGGTTCCACGGTCTAGGAAGGCTTCCTGAATTCCAGTCAATGTAGTCATATTTCATTCATTGGGAAGGTGATGCTGTACGAAAATCAAAGTTTGCATTACTAAAGAAATATAGAAAAAAAAAATTCAGATTGACCAAACACAGGGATTAGAGAAAGGAACTGATTTCTGATTGGATTTCCACATATGATTTCAGTACGGGATTCAATGTAAGTCATGTCCCCCCTTTACAAAGCTACATTAGCATTCAATTCTTAAAACTACTTTTCTGAGGACAGCAGGTGATGGGGTGGCTAAGGTGCTGGACTCCCACATAGTTGATCATGGTTTGAGTCCCAGACCCAGCGACTTAAGATTCACACCCGGCACATGTGCATATGTGCCCAAAATCACAAAAGGAGAATGTAGGAGAGGGGATAGTGGCATGGCCATCTCCCTGGGGGGTGATTTCTCACTTCCCTTCTCTCTGTCTCACTTTGGTGAGTGCATGTGCACTATGGCAAAATAATCCAAAAATACATAAATAAATAAATAATAAAATAAAGAGATTCCATCTAAAAAAAGAAAGGAAGAAACTACTTTTCTTTTCCCTAAAGTCTTTTTCTATATGTCTTTTGTTCATTCACGTCTTATATAAGGGTAAAGATGTTTACTCATTGAAAATGCTACCTCAAAGCTACGAAGCAGGCAATCTTACTCTTACAGTTCAAGGGTTAAGAAGCTTATTACAACTGAGCCAGGACTAAAATCCAGATGCATCTGGTTTCAAAATATTGAATGCTTTCTGAAAATGTACCATCACTTTTAGATGTCAGGAAAGAATATAACCTTGATGTTACGGGTCTTCCCAGCTTCTCCTGTACTGGAACATTCTTTGGTGGTAGAGAGAGGTAATTTAAAACTGAGGAAGGTGGTGGTTCTGTAAGGTAAAGAAAAATTGCAATAGACTACTGACCCAGTCTGTCTTGGTGAGAGAACTCTGCCAAACTATGAAGGGGTAGTAACTCGGTATCCTGGATCCTTTGAGGGGACTTCCCTTGCTTTTATAACAGCTACTTCGTCAGCTGAATTTGAGTCACAGCCTGGTGAGCAGCTGGTGTAAACAATCCAAACTGATCTCTGGACGCAGAGCAGATGTGAAAAATAAACGCTTGGACCATTTCTATGCTGAAAATTGAAAGGAGAGAGAAACAAAAAAGTAGAAACATAGCTTGGTTTGGTATAAGAAGAATGTATTTTTAAAAGATGACACTTGAAGAAATTGAATAATAAAATGGCACTGGGCAAAGTGGGTATCAGGGTTGGAATCCGAATGTTTCCCTGAAGACAGGTATTCTTTAAACATATTATAATGAAATCAGATGTTAAAATATTTAAGCCTTAAATTCAGGTAACAGCATTATGCTTCAGATTTCACCTTGAGGGTAGACTTGAGTACTGTCTATTGTCTAGAAGGCTAGAGATTTCCCACAGGTCCTTCCCTGTAAGGCCCAGAAACATGGTAGAAATTCTGAATGAAGCACATCTATTTGGTTTTGATAGAATTTGAAGGACCATCTGCTCTCAAACAACTAGGTTCCCTGGAACTGTCTAGACATCTGAATAACTCTCTGGTCCCCAGTCAGGTCCGTTTATGCGGTCAGATGCTTCTGGACAAGTTCTAATACTGAGCTGAAAACAATGGCATGGTTTAGACTATCAAGGTCTCAAACTTTACCATGTGATCAAAAGTGTGGTGAAAGTCAATGCTACTTTCTACCCTGGGGGAAGAGGAAGTTGGTTGGATTTGAGTGTATTTTTTTTTTTTAACAACTCTTAAACCATCAGTAGTTTCATGGGTTTCATCCAATGAAACTGAAATACTATGAGTAAATCTAATTTCTGAATTCCAATCATCCATCCCCAAATCAGTGACTAGTTCTCATTAATGCTTTGGTATTTACGGTTAGGTACAATCACAGAAGATATAAAACACATCTGTTGACTGGCTGCTGGCATGCTAGTTAGGGTGGCTATATCCCACACGTCCAACTACGACATTTGAGTCCTAGACCCAGTGGTTTGAAAAACACACTGGGCATATGTACATGTGTGCCCCAAAATCCTGAAAGGAGAAGTGGAAGGAAAGGGACTGTGTTGTGACCATCTCTCATGGGGGTACTTTCTCATTTTCCCTATCTCTGTCTGTTTCTCTCTGGTGAACCATGTGTTCTCTAGCAAATTACACACACACACATACACACACACACACACACACACACACAGAGTATACCTTTAAAACTGACAAGATGAGTATTCTACTGGGGGCACACTAGAAAATCTAAAATGCTATTTGAATATGAGTTTCCAAAGTAGTACCAGTCAAGGAATCATTAAGCATTGCTCATCAGTCTCTTCTCATGAGCTCTGATAGAGGGCCACAGATGACTTACCAGTAACAGAACTGAGGAGATAAGGAGCATTTCTTAACTATAGAATCAGGGAAACAGTATCCCTTTTCATTCTAATTCTTATTATGTGTGTTCTTCAATGCTGAGAAGCATATGCATCCATGGAAAAGTTCTTTCTGGATTTACGCAAGAGGGGGATTCTCAAACTTTTCCATTCAAGGAGCACCAGACTCATCCATTCATTCTGTGGTTTTGCTGTTGATGATGATGATGTCCATTCATTCATTCATTCTTCTTTCAGCATTTTTGAGAGCTTTCTATGGACAATACTGTGCTAGTCATTAGAATAATGAGAGAGAAAAGTATGCTGTCGACACTGCTGTCAGGGAGAGCCATGAATCTGGACCACAGGGACACAGGTACAGGTGCTGCAGTGAAGTGGCTTCAAGGAGCAGTTCAAAGTGATGCAAAAGTTGATCACAGAGTGTTTGACTGAGGGTGGTGAGTGAGCATAGATGAAGGTGTTTAGAGCTGAGAGTTGAAGGAGGAGTGGGAAGGAGAGAATTGGAAGGGAGAGGGATGATTTTATCAAGGACACACCTTATTCTTCCTATCACTCAACATGGTTATAATTGTTATTACTCACATCATCATAAACTTTGTTCAGCACTGAGCCTACTGTATTCTGTGATCAGGTTTTTCCTTGCAGTTTTTGTTTTTTTCCTAAAATAATACCTTGTCTCATTTCTTTAATTGCTCTATTCTATTTTTATGTGTAACTCTAATATTTCTCCATTAAGTCTATAAAGTTTTTAAAATAGCTAATTGGAAGCATGTACCTCACCACCTGCATTTTGGGAACAGAGTGAGAAAAGGGGGCTGGAGTTCCAGTGCTTGCTCTCAACTTGATCATTATCTTCCTGTTTTTAGGATGATATTACCCACCTCTACTATGCCTAGTAACTGGAGCTTCTCAGGGTTAATTTATTCAGAAACTAGATCTATATCTCCTACTCTGGGGTAAGGATATTGGGGGGAGGAAGTTTGAGGGATTTCTTTTTTTTTTTTTTCTTCTCTTTTTAGAGGTTTTTGCCTTAGGGCACACACACTAGTTGCAGGGAGAGAGACAGACAGTGAGAGGGGAAGTGAGGAATCACTCCCCGGAGGCATGGTCACCCCACAATCCCTTCTCCTGCTAGGATTTTGGGCATGCATGCACACATGGCCAGAGTGAGTGTTAAGACACTGGGTCTGGGATTCAAACTGTGGTTGAATCCATGTAGGAGTCCAGTGACATAACCACTACACCACCATCTGCTGCCTCCTCTGCCTTTTAATAGACTGTAGTTTAGTTTATTTTTGACACCCATCTTTCCATGAATTCATCGGGAATAGGTTCCAGAAGCTCAGGCACCTTTCCATTGAAGTATGCGAAGTGTGCTTCTCTGGATGTGTTTGTTTACAACGATGTCAACAGCATGCTGAGTAACATTGTGATCTCTTCCAGTGTTGCCATGGGAACATTTCTGGGGCATTCCTTTTGAACAGTACCCATTCCCTTGATGTCTACAATATCACCTTTCTTATAGATTTGCATGTATGTTGCCAAAGGAACCAGTCCATGTTTTCTAAAAGGCCTAGAGAGAATAGATCAGGTGCCTCTCCTCCTTCCCTTTGTGTTCGTCATTTTGGTGAATTCCTGGAAGATGGTGATTCCAGCCAAAAGTCAAGGGTTCTATTAATAGTTGCAAAGTAGTTCCTTGTGTTCTGAAGTTGGTTGCCAGCCTTCTCTTACCAGTGTGAAAGTTGTCCCACTCAAAAGGAGTCATTTGTGTCAACTCGTGTGAAAACCTAACCAAATGGAGTTGGGAAGGCCATGAAGGGGCAGATCTCATGCATGTATACTTGATAACAGAACTGTCATACAAAGGCCACTACAATCTTATACCAGATGCAAGGACATCTGCCCAGCCTTTTTATTGATCCCTGTGGCCAATAATAATTGTCCCAACAACTTAGGTTATCCCTTCTCATTTTCTTTTTAAAGCCTCTGTCTCTTCTTACCTCACTGAATATACCAGCAGTTTACTACTGTAAGCATATTCCATATTGCAATGCTTGTTCACAAATAAACGTATAGTTTTCCTTCAGCACCCTTCTGCCTGTTATTTAGAGGTTGACACCAGTTTCCTTCTCTGCTGAAGAATCCTTTCCTTCTCTCTTTTTCTCCTGGGCCTGGGTCTATTCTATTTCTTTTTCCTAGGAGAGGGCAGGGTTAATGCATGGAGCCAGCATGCCATCTGAACCAGCAGTCCCCTGCGGTTTCGGGATCAGCTGGTTTCTCCGCCCAGCGGCTATGTCCTGAGTCAAGCCTGAGACCAGTGGGGAACTCACCAAGAATGGCTGGGATGGCTCTCATGCTAAGCATCGGTTCCCTCGAACTTCCTGCCTGCCTGCTTTCTGGCCTGCATTTTTTTTGTGTCACACACCAAAGTCTGAAATGTATCAGAGAAGCTCATGTGGAAGGTTCTGGTCCATGTGCAGTTTCAGGGGGTCATGTATTCCATGGAGTTGGAATAGGAATGAGACTGATAAAAAAAAAAAAATCAACCAACCAAACAAACAAAAACAAAAGAACGTTTTCTTAATACCCCTTAAAGAAACCCCCCTTTTTCTTTTACTTTCTTAAGTATTTTTTAATACCCCCTTAAAGAAAAAACAGTTTTTTTTTAATCCCCTTAATCAAAATCTCCCTCCCCTCAGTTCCCTTTCTATGTTTCTTCAGTAATGTCATTGGATGTGGACAACTGAATTGCAGATGTTTATTGAAAACTTCAAAGTATCAAGGTTTGTCTCTTGCCTCCTGGGCAGGCTCCCCATAAATCTAATGATCTCAATCCCTCATTGTCTTCCTTTTTTCCTTTAATTGCTAGAGAACATGTATGCTGGTGTGTGTGTGTGTGTGTGTGTGTGTGTGTGTGTGTGTGAGAGAGAGAGAGAGAGAGAGAGAGAGAAAGAGAGAGAGAGAGAGAAGGAGAATGCACTTTTCAAAAGGGAACACCTCAATCCCTTCTCCATTTGTCCATCTTGTTGGGATTTTGAGCACACATGCACATGTGTCTGGAGTGTTTTTCAAGCAGGATTCAAACCATCATTGGCGATGTAGTATCTGGCTTCCTTAACTGCTAGACTATGGGACCAACTCTCTCCTTGCCTTCTTTATGAAGCCCTGCCAATGGTGGAGACGGCTCCCGGAAATGGGCATGGATTTTGTGCTACACAATGAATGGGGATGCAGAGAGAACATTTTGGAAATGCATCTTTGGGAAAGGTCAATGTGAGACAAATCCAAATATAATATACACAGGCACTCACCTGACCTCTTCACCATGTGCGAAGCAGCCTCACGCGTGTGCATATGTATTCTTCCTAGTCACTCAGCAGCAGAGATTGTGAACAACCCAGTGGGATTCAGTCCACTTATTCAGGAGTTGTGCTCTTGGGTTCAGGTCAGCCATGCCACAGAGCAGCAGGGAGCGAGTCTTGGCAGCTGCTGAAAATAGGGATTTGTCATGGAAATATTGACAGACCCTTAACCACGGCAGTGCTAGGAAGAGCTACGATAATATAGTAAATAAGGTGAATGGGTTCGGCTTATCTCATTTCACAGCTGAGCTGTGTATTGCCAGATAAATCAAATCAGGGTAAACGGCTTCATCTAATAAACTAGGTCAACATATAATGTATTTGTTCAGGTTCGCACTTTCATTGATTCTCATTTGATTTCAGAAGAGATATTTCAGCTCATGTTTGAACGTGTTTAGTATTCATCCCTCCTTCTGGTAAGCAGAGACTGAGAGGCAGAAACGCACGGCTGGGATATTCTTTTTTTTTTTTTCTTTTAAATAAATGAAGTTTTCTGATTCTTGTAAGTTCTTCTGCTTTGCATCTTTATGTATCGACGTGGGGGGGAGGGCGGTGGCAGGACCACTTGGGGAGAAAAGCCGAGAAGCAGCAGAAAATAAAAAGCACTCCTTCTCTTCATCTGCATTTCCCAATAATGTTTTAGTGATGTTTGCTAATGTATCATTCATTAACCATCAGCCACTATAAAAAACATAATCTATCTCGCAAAGTGGACATTATTATCGCATTAAATCATTTCACAATATACCTGAACGGTTCCACATGAGAGGCCTGGCCTGGCCAAGCTCAGATGCCTCCAGGCCAACTCCTCAGCGGTAATGAGATACGAGGTCTGTCTGTGATGAATACGATATTACTCGTGTCAGTGGTTGCGGACTGCACCCTGAATATTTCTTCTTACAGGTTTTTTTTTTTTTTTCCCCCTCTATAGCAAAGTTACTCAGGCAAAGCACTATTAACTCAGTAAATGAAGCTCTAAAGATCACAGAGTGTGTCCATTAGGAGACAAGACGGTGACTAATCCAATTTTGCGGGGGGGGGGGGGCGGTGATGATGCTTTGATAACATCTGGGGATGGCAGGCCCTGCATTACAGATGAGGCTCTGTGCTGTCCTCTGTTACTCTCCCTTCTAGCTCCTTCTTCTCTGCCTTTGTCTAAGAACAATGATTGCATTGTCCTCTCTTCTCCCTCAGCCCTCTCTGGCAGACAACCTCCCTGGAAGGTGATTAAAATAATGTCCATGGCTAGCAGAAGAAACGGAAAAGTGTGATGACTGAGGGGAGGGAGAGAGCCAAACAGCGCGTCTCTCCAGTTAATACAGATGGGACGGTTTCCGGAAGCTGCAGGTCTGTGTCGTGGACAGGCTGGGCTCTGCAAAAGGGTGGGGTAGAAGATGCAAGGGGCCATTTACTCTCTGCTCCAGTTAAAATCACATTGAACAGTCTTGCTTCCTGGGAAATAATCCATACTTCCTCCCCTTATAAGGGCACTTGCTCGTTCCTTTTATTCTTTGGAGAACTGTAGGCATTTGTTTAAAATGCTGCTGAATGCACATGAGATTCCTGATACCTCTTAGCCCGGATAGCATAGGATAGCCAAGAACAAATATCCTAAAGAATCCAATAAACATATCAACGAAATGGAGTCTTTCCTTAATCTTTCCTCTAAGTCTCCTTCCCATCCTTGTCATCAACAAATATTTGTCATGTGTCCCCTTTAGGCCATGCCTTGTATAGGACATTTAAAGAGTTCGGCCAATGACTACAAAGCATGTGAAATAGAGGCCACATACACCCGGCTTAGCATAGCCACCACGTTGCTGAATGGACGTCCCAATGAAAAGCGTGTCCCATACAACTAAATGTGATGTTCGATGTTTTTAATGACAATCCTACGTTATTGCTTCCCAAGAGAACATCACAAACATATCACCCTGAAGACTAGCCTTGAGTCACAAAATATACTCCTTTCTCCCACAGGTTTGTTTTCTGCAGTTAATCAATTCAGAAGGATTGGCTTAATTTTCCACACTGAAAAAATGCAGGTGGAAACCCCCTTTGAAAGTCAATTTTATAATAGTTCCTATTCCTTTGGTATATTCTTAGTTCAGGTGATGTGGAAAATATAATTTTGAAAACATTTGGACTGACTTGTGGTCTTTAGAAAGGACAGGCTAGAGTGAATCATGATTTTGTATCTAAATCGATGTACCCTCGACTTCCCTCCTCATTCTGAAATGACTTCATAGGTTTTATTACTTTCAGTGAAATTTATTTATATTGAATGAATCAATCGATCTCTCCCTGCCTTCCTTCTCCCATGCCCCTTCTATTTCTCTTTCTTTTTCTCTTTGACAGAGGACTAGAAACTAACAGAAGGGATATTTTACTGATAATGTCCATACTCATACCAAGTAAGAAACCACTGGTGCCACTGTTTCCAGTAAGCATTTTTTAAAATTTATTTAACTTTAAAAGACTTATTGTTTGTTTGTTTGTTTGTTTTTGTTGTTGTTTTTAATAAATGACCTAGACAATATAACATATCTAGAAATTTAGAAAGGTAAAATATTTAGCAGAATGTTACTTTGGTAAGCTGTTGCATTACATTAAAAATTATTTCAGTAGG